TGGGGGAGCAGACTACTTACAACCTTGTCTTGCCAAGGGAACCACCGCCGTGAGGTTGCTGTATGGTCTGCAGTACGAGCACGTTTGCGTCCATGACTGGCTGTTTCAATACCATTGTTGACTGGAAAGCATCACAGTTATAACTAATGAAAAAAAAAGCATAAGGCTTACCAATCACAGTGACCTCCGGTAAATCATCGTTGCTGGGAGCATCCGACCATTCAAGGTCTTTGTTTGAGGAATCCAAGAGTGCATTGAAGTGGTCAAGAGCAGCCAGCGCTATTGAGGCAACTGCTTCCTGCTCAGGTGGCAGATCAAGAACAACATGTGAGGGGTTGTCGAGTAGACCCCAGTCAAAGTTGATGATGTCGGGGGAAGATGGCAAGGGATTGGCAGGTGGCTGAGACTGTAGGCTGGAATGATTGTCACCTGTTAAAGATGTAAGCAAAGTACAAATGCTATTATTGACTAATGTAAATGCTTGGGAGACTGAGGCTTCAGGAGCCAGAGGTGGTGATCCAGGAGGTTGATCTTGATCTTGATCAAGCTCGTATTGGCAAGCATACTCGGCTTGGGCCTGGTGCAAAAGAGACTGTACATGGCGGGGTAGGTGCTATGGATAGCGCAAGCGCCCATCGCGACACAAACAGCACCTATATCGTGGCTGGCCTTCTGAATTGTGTACGAGCTCCCATAATGCTTACAGTGCGAGAATAATATGTCTCAGCCTTAGTATTTTACAGTGAACTCAAGCCAGCACTTACTTTCGTCAATTAATATAGCATCTTGGAAAAGATGGGGGAGAGATTAAGCACTGGTATTGATCTAGGAGTACTATGGTACGAATACAAAAACAGAGTACACGGCAAAGCATATCACGATCTAACTGGTCATAATAAGCTTTGATAGCGGGGTTGGAGATCATTTGAAGATTATCTTGAGCTGGGGTCTGGGTATGGTTGCAAATTGAGAAATCAGGTGCTCGGTTGGAGTCTGGATCAGAATCCATGGTTATATTTGAAAAAAAAGCTAGACCTAATGAACACATGGTGCTGAGTCTGGGCTGCCACATGTACGGGGGCTACTCGGAGAAACTTGTGCGGAGTGGCTACAAATCTCTGGCCATGTAGGCAATGAATGGTTTTTGTGGAGACTTGGAGCAGTATCAAAGTGCACAAAGACATCACTCATAGTCAGAATGGGTGAGCCCCATCAGAGTCAAGTATAGTGTTGATCTATTGCTAAGCAGAAAGACAAGTGTCAGTACCAGTCATACCATGGCTGTGGTGTTGATTATTCTGATAGGCATCCATTACTTCTGCTTTGCCTGTGATGTAGTGGCCATGTTCAGTCAGGAGACAATCTAAATAATCATTCACTCTGCAATCAACAGTCAAGAAGCCAAAGATGAAAGACCCAATAAGTCTGAGTGAAAACTCAGCCACTGCCCGAGAGGCTATAGAAACGACTGAGGTATTCCTATACTAAACCCCTACTACTTATAGTCGGAGGTGCTACTCGCTACAGTATAATGACTCCTAGGAGAACAATGGTGACTCCATGGAGTGGTGGCTATGCTCCATAGAGAGCAATGGCTGCTTTAGCAGAGACCAGGTTTATCCAGTTTTGTCACTCCCACTTGAGTGCAACCATAGTCCCATAGCTTTAGAGAATTTCCAGTGTTTTTCGTGAGTGAGGGGTTTAGTGAGAATGTCGGCAACCATATCTCCTGTAGGAACATATCTGATTACTGCCTCTCCCTTTGATACTAAGTCATCTCGGATAAAATGATATTTCCGTTGAATATGTTTTGTGCAAGCACGGAACTGCGGATCTCATGTAAGAATGATAGCTGCTTGATTGTCACAGTGCAACATTGTAGGTCCATTTTGAGCATGTCCAATTTCTTCAAAAAATGACCAAAGCCATGCAAGGTGTTGTCCAGCATTGCTCAATCCAATGTACTCTGACTCCGTGGAGGATAAAGCTACCATGCTTTGTCTTTTGCTTGTCCAGGAGATTGCTCCTTGGATGGTGATAAAAACAAAGCCTGATGTTGATCAAGACATATCTGGGTCTCCAGACCAATCTGCATCTGAATATCCATAGAAATCCATGTCCATGGAGACATCTGTGCCATCATAATGTAGTTTCATGTCCCTGGTTGCTTTCAGATATTACTCTTTCCCAGAGTTTGTGTGTTGCGTTGAAATGCAAATACTTACTGACATAATTTAGGGGGGTACCCATATTAGAATATAGCATGTTACAATATTTTTTGGGCTATAACTTTCAGACTTCACAATCTATATATACAGGATATGGAGAAAATGTTGTGGATAAAAATTTGATAATGTAGTGATATAATTTAATGAAAATAATAAAATATAATATGTTTATAGGTGATTTTTATTTATTACTTACCAACATCAAGGCAATAATGGTTTTCCAAATTATATAAACAAATTTAAAAGCAGTAAATAGTATGAGGAATTAAAATTTTCATCTTATTTTCATTCCTTTGCTGCTATAACTTGGCTCTTAGACCTATTTCTGATTACTCCTCTTACTCTTGGACTAGAAGTCACTATTGGTGCTTTTCTTTTGATTTCTCTTTTCTTTTATCCCACTACCACTTACTATCCTACTTATGGAGGCAACTGAATCCCTTGACTCCCCTAGAGGTAATTTACTTAGGGGAGGCATCTCATTAACCAGCTTTATAAGAGATTATCCTCTTGAGAGATTAATACAATGATAAGGCTTAGTATAGTACCTTACTATTGGGTTGCTATATGAGTTAGTCAGACATCCCACAACTACCCTTCTCTCTCACAGGATGATCAATACAATAGTGGCATCACTTTTATTCTCTTTTCCTATTGGTTGATTTTAGGATTAGTCCACTTCTCTATCATTCTCCATTTTTGGTCCAATCCCCTTATTTCCCTATATAAGGATTTAGATATCTCTTATATATGCTTTAGTTCCTACTTGAGATTTGCACCTACCTTGATACTCTTCGCCTATCAATACTTATCTCATTGACCATCAAATCCTTGTCCAGCATTATTGGTGTTGTGTTATATAGCTTCTTGTTTATTGCCTCACAGATGGTCCCCTAGGAAGCAAATAAAACAAATAGTAACAGCAGACAACAAGAGAAAATGTATAGTGGGACACTGTTTCTATGGCAGAAATATCTAAGTTCAAGATTCATGAATTGCTATCCACTTAAATATGATTATTTTGCTACACAAACTCTACCACCTTATAATTGTCTTTGGTTTCTTATCCATCTCTAAAAATAACTATTTTTACATACAAAAAGCCAAGGCTAATTTCCAATTAAGGCAAAATTCTTCTCAGTCAAGAAGGGGGTTAATTAGAAGGACACTGAATATGACTATATCTATCAAAGCACCTTATAATAATCTTTGTAATACTCTTGTGTGATTTTGTAGAACTGAATATTGTTACCTGTAACTGTGCTTTGCCAGTCCTGAAATCTGGTCAATCCATCAGTGGATACAGTTATGATCTTGATAATTTAGATAAATTATGAGTTAATAATGGTTAGCATTAGGTGTTTGAATCCTTGATTTGGTGCTGGCAGGAAATTATTTATGTCTTAGTGAATACCACTATATAATTAATTCCATCAAGTAAAGTTTAGTGCATAAATAGATAAATATTGTCAAGAGAAATTGTAGTGTTATCAAGGGGTAATTCTGATACAGAAACAAAATTCCATACAGGATGATGAAAGTGTTAGGTGCAGCATTATGTGAACCTAAGGAATATAGATATGCCACCAAGATCAAGGGAAGCCAATCTCCCCAATCTTTGATTTATTCTAATATATATTATTGAATGAAGCATCACTATTCCTTAGGTCTTGTCCCATTAGGTCTCTTCCCCTAGGTCTTTCCCACTAGACCTTGTTCCACTAGGTCTTGGTCTTATCCCACTAGGTCTTGTCCCACTAGGTCTCTTCCCACTAGGTTATATCTCACAAGGTCTTTTCCCACTAGATTTTGTCCTGCCAGGTTTCACAGCAAGCATAACCAACTTTTGTCACACCCAAAATCAATGAAAAAGTCTGAAAGTAGTTAAAATATTTAATTGCATTTTGGACCTATAAAACTTTATCAGAATAATGTATTTTTGTTAACATATTTCTACATATCCACACAAAAATATAGTATTAATGGAAATATATTAACCAAAAGACATCATTTTGTAGGTCCAAAATGCAATCAAATATTTTAACTACTTTCAGACTTTTTCATCAATTATGAGTGTGACAAAAGTTGGTTATGCTTGCTGTGTTTTAGTCTTATCCCACTAGGTCATGTCCCACTAGTCCACATTGCACAAGGTCTTGTCCTGCTAGGTCTTGTCCCAGGTCTTTTTCCACAAGGTCTTGGTCTTATCCCACTAGGTTATGTCCCACTAGGCCTTGCCTCACTGGGCCATGTTTTTATCCCACTGTATCTTATCTTGTGTCCCTCAGACATACTATATGGATTACTATATACAGTATTATATCCACCTTGATGCATACAGTGGAGACTTATATATACTTACCACAACCTTAACATAATAGCCCAATTCATTGAAAATTCCCTGGAAGCTAGTAATTCCAGTATGGCCAGAGACTATCATGAGTACTATAAGACCCACCCACATTCTGGACACTACACTTGGTTAAGCCTGAGAAGAATTTCTTAAGCTAGCAATCATACTGTTGTTTATTCAGCTGGTATTGGTACTGTGGTGTTTAACCCTGTTATTAATGGCAAAGAATCAAGGGCTGTAGAATTCTTCAGAGTGCTGCATGTACCAGATCTTCGAAATAATCTCCTCTCAGTCTTGTACTTAACTCGTCAAAGTGGTTTTAAAGTTATCACTTCATCTCAATCTATGTCCTTCATACCGGGCAACACTCTCTTATTCACTGCAACCATTTAACAATAATGCTGCATTCCTTGATGGATCCACTGTTTCTTGTGTTGAATTGGGACACTTTTCTGCAACAATTCCACTTGATTTAAACCTTTGGCATCGAAGATTGGCTCACCACCACTATGCTGATGTCAAGAAATTGACACAAGAAGACCTTGTTACTGAAATGACACTTGAGTCTAAATCTACTCCTGATCCTATCTGTGAACCATGTCTGTCTGGAAAAATGTCTGCCAACCCATTCCCTTCATCTTCTCATCACTCTGCTCACCCTCTAGACCTCATCCACTCTGATGTACACCAAGTCTCCTCCCCTTCATTCTCTGGGTATCAATATTGGGTCACCTTCATCGATGATTACACTCGATTTTGTGTTGTTGTCCCTTTGAAGGCCAAGTCAGATGTCTTTAATGCTTTCAAGAGTTTCAAGGCTTATGCTGAGACTCAATTAGAGCAAAAAATCAAGGCTCTGCGTGATGACAAAGGGGGAGAGTACATCTCCAAGGAGTTTGAGCAATTCACAGATGATCATGGCATTGTCAGACAGCATACCACCCGGAATAGGCCTCAGCAGAATGGAGTTGCAGAACGAGCAAACAGGCTTCTCTCTGAAAGAATCACTACCATGCTTTCAGAGTCTGGATTGCCTAATATCTTCTGGGGTGAATGCCTAGGTGCCTTGGTGCATGTCTGGAATAGGTGTCCCACTGATGCAGTGGTCAATGCTACTCCTTATCAATTGTGGCATGGACATAAACCAGACATGTCACACCTTTGTGTGTGGGGGTGCACTGCTTATGTGCATGTGCAAAAGGATAAGAGAGGTGTTTTTGGTTCTCACATGGAGAAATGTGTGTTCATTGGTTACCCTGCTGGGTACAAGGGTTGGAAATTCTACAATCCTACCACCAAACACACCATTATCTCTGAGAAAGCTGATTTTGATGAGCGCTACTTCCCTGGCTTGAAAAAGACTTCTACCACTGCCATTCCTACTCCACCTCTGTCACCTTCACTTCCCATGCCTTTGGGCCTGGATGAGGATGTCCCTGCACCAGGTCCAGGGGGAGATATTGACCCACCAGCTGTACTTCAGCAACCTCAGCAACCTCAGCACTTGCCTCATAATGGGCCTGATTTGGACCTTGATGCAAAACCACCTGTGAATCAACCTCCTAAGCTTCCAGATCACCCTCCTCATTGCTCACCTTCTTCTGACTTGCCTATTGCACTGAGACGCCCTGCAAGGGCTAGGAGACCACCTAGACCATGGTGGCTTCAACACAGACAACCTACTCCTGCTATTGAGAGTGATAACAGTGATAGTAGTGATTCTGAGGCAGTTGATGATGAAGTGGCACACTTTGGAGACTCTGCTGAGCCTAGGTCATTCGCAGATGCAATGAAGCGTCCTGATGCAGATAAATGGAGAGAGGCAGCCATGGAAGAGCTTCAAGCTCATGAGCACAATGGAACTTGGTCACTTGTGGAACTACCTCCTGGAGAAAAGGCAATTGGTGGCAAGTGGGTCTTCAAGATCAAGCGCAACTCTGATGGCTCCATTGAGCGCTACAAGGTCAGATATGTGGCCAAAGGTTATAACCAGCGCCCTGGCTTTGACTTCCTTGAAATATTTGCACCCACTGTTTGCATCTCATCTATCAGAGTTGTCCTTACAATTGCTGCCATCCATAACCTCCATTTGCACTCCATTGACATCTCTCATGCATTTCTCAATGGTGTCATGGATGTAAAGGTCTACATGCATCAGCCAGAGGGATTCCATCAGGGTCCTCGCAATCTTGTTTGCCAGTTGGACAAGGCCATCTATAGGACAAAGCAGGGAGGCAGAATGTGGAACCAGAAGATGCACACTGTGCTTGAAAAACTCGGATTCAAGTGTACTTACTCTGACTCTGCCATCTATGTGTTTAATAGAGGTGAAGTGCGCATTATTCTACCTGTCTTTGTCGATGACATGACACTGGCATCCACATCCAATTCTGCACTTGACCAAGCTGTCAAGGACCTCTCTCAGCACTTCAAACTTTGTGATCTTGGCCCTACTTCCTACCTACTTGGCATTTCCATCACCAGAGACCTCAGCAATCACACCATCTCCCTCTCCCAACATCAGTACACTCTGGACATTCTGGAGCGCTTTGGCATGAAGGACTGCAAGCCTGTGTCCACACCAATGGACCCTGGTTCACGCCTCACCAAGGATATGTCTCCCAAGACACCAGAAGAAGTGCAACTGATGAAGGACATTCCCTATCTTGCTGCTGTTGGTGCTCTGATATATTTGGCCACCACCACTTGTCCTGACATTACCTATACTGTTGGAGTTTTTGCCAGATTCAATTCCAATCCTGGGCCCACTCACTGGGGTGCTGTCAAGCACTTATTCCGCTACTTGCAAGGCACCCTCAATCACTCACTTGTCCTTGGCCCTGATCCTAATTCCACTGAACTCTTCACCACTTTCTCTGATGCTGATCATGGTGGTGACAAGGACTCTGGACGTTCTACTGGTGCTTACCTTGTCAAGATTAGATCTGGTGCTGTCTCTTGGAGTTCCAAACTTCAAAGCATTGTTGCTCTTTCCACCACTGAGGCAGAATATATTGCTGCTGTTGAAGCTGGCAAGGAGATCTGCTGGATGCAAAATCTGCTGAAGAAAATGGGCTATCCTATCACCTCTCCTTCCACCCTTCACATTGACAACCAATCTGCCATCTCTGTGTCCAATAATCCTGAACACCATGGTCGAATGAAGCACCTTGATTTACGCTGGCATTGGTTGAAAGATATTGTTGGCTCTGGCCAAATTGCTCCCACCTTTGTGCCCACTGCTGAAATGCCTGCTGATTTGTTGACCAAGGCTCTGGCTAAGCCTAAAGTTGACATGTTCAGACAGATGATGGGACTTGTTAGATCAGGGGGGAGCTAATGCTTGGGAGGTGCAGCATCAGGGGGTGTTAATTTTGGTGATTCTGCACCTAGTTGTGCTATCTATTTTCCCTTCTTTCTAAATCACTTTCCTCTTTATTCTTTTTGCTGTATTGTTCAGTATTCACTGAGCATTCTATAATTTTGCCTTTGTGGCTGATTTGTTTACCTTTGTTTACAAAACTTCGGACTAGTATTGCAGAGTCCAGTATTCCTATTCTTTAGTTACTCATACTGGACTCTAGGTACTATACACATTCTGTACTCTCTGATATAGTTACTCATACTGGACACTAGTTCTGTCCCTGTTAGCTCTCAGCAAGTGGCTAGACACTTCCCAGAAGTTCTCAATTGAACACAATCTGACCCAGCATATCATTCAACCCTATCAGAGCAGTGGCGGTCATTGCATTGGCAGCCACACAAGGGGTTTTAGAGCTGCGGCTATGCACAGTTATGCCTGTGCTCTTGCTGCAAGTGACAACCGACATGGCATCTGCATCTGCATTGGCATCCAACTCTGCGTCACACTCCTTTTGTTTGCTACTAAAAGACCCACGGGAGGTAGTTGATGATAAAGTTGAGGGAGCGGGCATTGATTTGGGAGATGGTACACCCCCTAGCCAGAGGTTAACGTTGGCATCATGGGAATGCATGTTGGTACTAATGCTCCTAGGTGTTTGTGGGGTAATAGCTACAGGGGGAGGAAACATAGATGATGATGGGGTAATGCTAGACACAGGAGGGCTATGTCTATTTGGTACAGGTACAGAAGGGGGGGCAGAGCAAAAAATGTTTGCTCCCTTGGCAAAACGGCCACACATAAGATCATCCATTGCTGAGAAATGGGTCCAGCCCTTGTTGCGAAAAATCTTGACACAAGGTTCCTCTAGAGATGGATGAGATGAGCGTCGCAATGTATGAAGTGAGTACTTACCTTTAAATACTCAGCCCATACTATCTCACTCTCTACTGTGATACCTGCACCGCCAATATTGTCCCAATGAAAGCCCGACTGCTCTGACAGTGCTTTGACAGTTCGGTAGGTGGTTCTCAGCTAATAATCGGTCAAGAAAACACCATAGATCAGTTAATCAATGGTACGTACCCCCCCCCCCATTTTCCAGTGCAGTGCTCGGCCTCTTTTGCAGGGCTAACCTGTTGGATCTTCTGCAATTCTACGGCAGCCTTTGTCCAGAACTTCTTTGGGAAATTGAGCCCATCGCCAGCCTCAGATCAATGAGATTTTAAAAAAGAAATCAGTGTAGCTTCTTCTGCCTCTGACCACATCCTCCTGTCTTTTGTGCTAGTGGAAAGATAGCCATCACTAGTATCAGATGGCGCAAATATGATATTTGGAGCTTGGTAGTCAAGTGTGTTGCTGGAGTGGGTGGCCATATCTGTTTCTCTATTCACTCTCAACCAGTTACAAGGTTGTTTATAGTTGCATAAAGAAGCCTTGAGGCCTGAGCCTGAGCCTTTCCTCTTGGACATGAGTTTATTGAGTCAGTGGTGGTCTGAGTCAAAAAGCATGGCACAGCACTCCTTGTGGCATATCGGCAGCCTGTGGCGCTAAAAATGTGCAAAGTTTATTTTTCAATTTTTCGTTCCCGTACAGCGCCTTAACCTTTTTTGTAGCTGTAGCTGTGTAGTTATTTCTAGATATATATAATCACCAATGCCTCACCAACAATAGTCCATTGTTGTGCAATTTGCTTTCATATGTTATAAACATAGTTAAACAGCAAGGTAGCCAGCATAACTTGAGGACCCCTGGTACCTGTGACCTGTGACACACTATGGGATCAGCCCATACATTGGGACTATCCCAAGCTCTTGGGACAGTCCCATCCTTTCTGGGATAAACCCTGTAGTCATAACTCTTGCCCCTGTGGTGATGGCACCTGTGCACATTTTTTTTGAAAACTCTGTCCCCCGTGGAAAAGAACTACCAGATTTACAACAAAGAACTATTGGCAGTGATAAGAGCTTTGAAGGAGTGGAAACACTTGCTTCTAGGAAGCCCCTACATGATCCAAATCCTAATGGATCACAAGAATCTGATGTACTTGCAAGAAGCCAGAAAACTCACTCCACAACAGAGACAATGGCAGCTAGAACTGTCACAATACAATTATACACCCTAGAACATGTACCGGGAACCCACATGGTGGTACTCAACGCACTCTCAAGAAGACCTGACTTGTATGTTGACAGCGAAGAAGACAATATTGACACACCAATGATACTAGCGTTAGCATTCACACGCAAATAATAAAAGACACCATTGGGCAAGCCATACTCACAAACAACAACTATCTAGAACAAATAGAGAAAGAAGATTGGAGCAAAGAAGAAGGACAGTTCTTCTATCAGAACAAACTACTAATTGATAAAGCAGAAGAACAAAGAAAGATCATTAAAGATCACCACAACTAGGAATGATGAAACAAGTAGAAGAATAAGTGAAAGGATGCGCAACATGCCAACAAGCAAAAGTAAACACACATCCAAGTACGGTACCTTTAATCCCAAATCAAACCCCAAAAACCACAGAACCAATGAAGTATCTCTCTGTGGATTTCATAACAGACTTACTAGAATCATCAGGATATGACAGTATAATGATCGTGGTAGACCAAGGACTTAGTAAGGGGGTAATCCTCTCACCCTGTCATAAAACCATCAATGCACTCAAAACCGCACAAATCTTCCACAATTCCGTCTTCAAACAATTTGGATTACACGATAAACTCATATCTGACAGAGGACCACAGTTTGCCTCTGAAGTATCCAGAGAACTCCACAAACTCCTGAACATCAAAACCGCACTTTCCATGGTGTATTATCCACAAACAGATGGACGGACGGAATGATCAAACCAAGAACTGGAGATCTACCTCCGCATCTTCTGCCAGAACCAACTGCACAGCTGGCCAAAATACCTTACAACCGCTGAATTCTGCCACAACCAGCGACCACACTCCACAAATAACCAATCACCTGTAACAACGAAGAGTTTGTTACTCTGGCGCACAACTAGAACACACTATAGAGGGGATGATGATGATGATGATGAGGGAGTGGTTACCCCATAGGCTTCAACAAGTTAGTTGTGAGGATACAACAGGAGGACTCGCTGAGGAGTCTCCTGGATATATTGGGGTATATATACTAATACAGAGTGTTTGTACTTATGTACTGTACAGTTTGATAAAAGCAGTGGCTGATGATGTCAGAGGGCGCAGCCCGTGTGCCCAGCTCCACTGTGTGAGAGACTTTGTAGCTAAAATAAGAAAAGCGCAGCGCAGCACGAGAAAGAGGAGTTTGAACAAAAGGGAAAGTGCTGCATGGCACAGTGTGTGAAAATTACAGTAAAAGGTTAAAGAGGAGAATGAAAATCAAAGGTCCAAAAATGTGTTATAGTAACATCAGCATTTCACCTCTTCATGGGATACGAACCCCGAGGAATCCCAACTAAATACCGATCCACAAATATCCCATCAGTAGAAAATGTTACGATAACACAATTTCCGGACATCTCCTTTCCATTTTATTCTCCGCTTTAACCTTATACCTTAGTTGCCATGCGGCATCTCCCTTTCTCGCGCCGCCTACCTTTCTTTCACTTTAGTCACCCAAAAATATGGACCTCTTAGGTTGATCATATTAATTGTATGATTAGGGCTAAGAGCTTTCATTCCCATGGTCTTCATCTCTATTTGGGACTGTCCCAAGTAGGGACACTTCTATTAAAATATCACATGTCACAAGGTGGTTGGGGTCTTCACAGGACAACATGTAACATTAATACCAGGGCATCTTCCTAACTAATGTAGCAATTAATTAGCTTCTTTTGTTGGTGTTTTTATCTTATGATTCACTTTATACTGTTTCTATTGCCCAATGAAGTGATGAATTGAGTTTGATTACATCAAGAATGCAAATGCAAAACCATCTAAATCATCTAAACAACCAATGTGTAATCTCATCTGTGTTGAACTTTTTACAATGCAATAACTTACATATAAAATTTTCACAGTCACATCCCATAAGTAGATCTGTTCAATTGTTTACAAACTCAACAGCTTTAAATGCCACACATAGTGAAAAGAAAATGAAACTTACTATTCAATGAAGGACTTGTGTGTAGTTTATGATGTAAACAAGGTCATTTGAGCAGATGGTGCCACTTTGGTAAACTAGAACAATGTAGTAAAAGAGTATTCCTAGTGGACCTGATGACTCACATTCCAATCCCCAATGCTTAATGAGAATTCAGGCTATGACTGTTCTAAAAGCAAAGTGTAAACAGTATATCCAAGCCACCTATACCAGAACTATTTGTTATCATCTGTTCAATGTAGGATATAAATCATAAACCCTTGGATGTAGAAGTCACTGACAAGCAACTTGCTGGCTTGGGCATATCTCTAAAGACCTCTTATTATCAAATGTCCAGCTCTCATAACAAAGCAGACCATTGATACACTGAGGCAATATAAAGACAACCAAATTAGCCTTGGAAGTAATGTAGTAATGATCTTTGGCTATTGTAACAAAAAAAGCTACAATAATTTTTGCTGTCATTGCAAATGTCTTGGTCATATGGTGCAAAGTTATACTGTTGATATAGCTGATGACATTGATTACATATATTTACACTTGAGGATACTTAGCCACAACTAAATGTGGAATACATTATTTTCCCATAACCCCAATTGATTCTGCAGCCTATTTACCCACAAATGATTTATTCCTTCTGGCTACTCCAGCAGCTTTTCTGGTAGTAAATAAATGTAAGAAATTCTTCTCAGGCTTAACCAAGTGTAGTGTCCAGAATGTGGGTGGGTCTTATAGTACTCATGATAGTCTCTGGCCATACTGGAATTACTAGCTTCCAGGGAATTTTCAATGAATTGGGCTATTATGTTAAGGTTGTGGTAAGTATATATAAGTCTCCACTGTATGCATCAAGGTGGATATAATACTGTATATAGTAATCCATATAGTATGTCTGAGGGACACAAGATAAGATACAGTGGGATAAAAACATGGCCCAGTGAGGCAAGGCCTAGTGGGACATAACCTAGTGGGATAAGACCAAGACCTTGTGGAAAAAGACCTGGGACAAGACCTAGCAGGACAAGACCTTGTGCAATGTGGACTAGTGGGACATGACCTAGTGGGATAAGACTAAAACACAGCAAGCATAACCAACTTTTGTCACACTCATAATTGATGAAAAAGTCTGAAAGTAGTTAAAATATTTGATTGCATTTTGGACCTACAAAATGATGTCTTTTGGTTAATATATTTCCATTAATACTATATTTTTGTGTGGATATGTAAATATGTTAACAAAAATACATTATTCTGATAAAGTTTTATAGGTCCAAAATGCAATTAAATATTTTAACTACTTTCAGACTTTTTCATTGATTTTGGGTGTGACAAAAGTTGGTTATGCTTGCTGTGAAACCTGGCAGGACAAAATCTAGTGGGAAAAGACCTTGTGAGATATAACCTAGTGGGAAGAGACCTAGTGGGACAAGACCTAGTGGGATAAGACCAAGACCTAGTGGAACAAGGTCTAGTGGGAAAGACCTAGGGGAAGAGACCTAATGGGACAAGACCTAAGGAATAGTGATGCTTCATTCAATAATATATATTAGAATAAATCAAAGATTGGGGAGATTGGCTTCCCTTGATCTTGGTGGCATATCTATATTCCTTAGGTTCACATAATGCTGCACCTAACACTTTCATCATCCTGTATGGAATTTTGTTTCTGTATCAGAATTACCCCTTGATAACACTACAATTTCTCTTGACAATATTTATCTATTTATGCACTAAACTTTACTTGATGGAATTAATTATATAGTGGTATTCACTAAGACATAAATAATTTCCTGCCAGCACCAAATCAAGGATTCAAACACCTAATGCTAACCATTATTAACTCATAATTTATCTAAATTATCAAGATCATAACTGTATCCACTGATGGATTGACCAGATTTCAGGACTGGCAAAGCACAGTTACAGGTAACAATATTCAGTTCTACAAAATCACACAAGAGTATTACAAAGATTATTATAAGGCGCTTTGATAGATATAGTCATATTCAGTGTCCTTCTAATTAACCCCCTTCTTGACTGAGAAGAATTTTGCCTTAATTGGAAATTAGCCTTGGCTTTTTGTATGTAAAAATAGTTATTTTTAGAGATGGATAAGAAACCAAAGACAATTATAAGGTGGTAGAGTTTGTGTAGCAAAATAATCATATTTAAGTGGATAGCAATTCATGAATCTTGAACTTAGATATTTCTGCCATAGAAACAGTGTCCCACTATACATTTTCTCTTGTTGTCTGCTGTTACTATTTGTTTTATTTGCTTCCTAGGGGACCATCTGTGAGGCAATGAACAAGAAGCTATATAACACAACACCAATAATGCTGGACAAGGATTTGATGGTCAATGAGATAAGTATTGATAGGCGAAGAGTATCAAGGTAGGTGCAAATCTCAAGTAGGAACTAAAGCATATATAAGAGATATCTAAATCCTTATATAGGGAAATAAGGGGATTGGACCAAAAATGGAGAATGATAGAGAAGTGGACTAATCCTAAAATCAACCAATAGGAAAAGAGAATAAAAGTGGTGCCACTATTGTATTGATCATCCTGTGAGAGAGAAGGGTAGTTGTGGGATGTCTGACTAACTCATATAGCAACCCAATAGTAAGGTACTATACTAAGCCTTATCATTGTATTAATCTCTCAAGAGGATAATCTCTTATAAAGCTGGTTAATGAGATGCCTCCCCTAAGTAAATTACCTCTAGGGGAGTCAAGGGATTCAGTTGCCTCCATAAGTAGGATAATAAGTGGTAGTGGGATAAAAGAAAAGAGAAATCAAAAGAAAAGCACCAATGGTGACTTCTAGTCCAAGAGTAAGAGGAGTAATCAGAAATAGGTCTAAGAGCCAAGTTATAGCAGCAAAGGAATGAAAATAAGATGAAAATTTTAATTCCTCATACTATTTACTGCTTTTAAATTTGTTTATATAATTTGGAAAACCATTATTGCCTTGATGTTGGTAAGTAATAAATAAAAATCACCTATAAACATATTATATTTTATTATTTTCATTAAATTATATCACTACATTATCAAATTTTTATCCACAACATTTTCTCCATATCCTGTATATATAGATTGTGAAGTCTGAAAGTTATAGCCCAAAAAATATTGTAACATGCTATATTCTAATATGGGTACCCCCCTAAATTATGTCAGTAAGTATTTGCATTTCAACGCAACACACAAACTCTGGGAAAGAGTAATATCTGAAAGCAACCAGGGACATGAAACTACATTATGATGGCACAGATGTCTCCATGGACATGGATTTCTATGGATATTCAGATGCAGATTGGTCTGGAGACCCAGATATGTCTTGATCAACATCAGGCTTTGTTTTTATCACCATCCAAGGAGCAATCTCCTGGACAAGCAAAAGACAAAGCATGGTAGCTTTATCCTCCACGGAGTCAGAGTACATTGGATTGAGCAATGCTGGACAACACCTTGCATGGCTTTGGTCATTTTTTGAAGAAATTGGACATGCTCAAAATGGACCTACAATGTTGCACTGTGACAATCAAGCAGCTATCATTCTTACATGAGATCCGCAGTTCCGTGCTTGCACAAAACATATTCAACGGAAATATCATTTTATCCGAGATGACTTAGTATCAAAGGGAGAGGCAGTAATCAGATATGTTCCTACAGGAGATATGGTTGCCGACATTCTCACTAAACCCCTCACTCACGAAAAACACTGGAAATTCTCTAAAGCTATGGGACTATGGTTGCACTCAAGTGGGAGTGACAAAACTGGATAAACCTGGTCTCTGCTAAAGCAGCCATTGCTCTCTATGGAGCATAGCCACCACTCCATGGAGTCACCATTGTTCTCCTAGGAGTCATTATACTGTAGCGAGTAGCACCTCCGACTATAAGTAGTAGGGGTTTAGTATAGGAATACCTCAGTCGTTTCTATAGCCTCTCGGGTAGTGGCTGAGGTA